GTTTGAAAAATTTAGAGGAACCAAAATTTTAATGATCAATTATATACGGTGTGCTATCGTATCTTTATTATATGAAACGCTTTGTTTCATTCGCTTTCATCAAGTGACAATTCATTATTTAAGTTTTGCTTTATTTTTAAGCCATTCTAAATCAGTATCTGAAACATTCAAAAGGCAAAATTTAAATGATGAATTACGTATGGTATACTACCGTATCTTGGTTATATGAAAGGCGTTTTTTTAATCTATTTATTCTTTCATAAAGTGACAATTGATTGATCATTTAAATTTCGTTTCCTTTTTTTTTCCCATTCTATGCCAGTGATATCTTTATTTTCTTTTGAAATTTAAAATGAAAACTTTTGTCATTGCCTAATGAAAAAGGCACAGATTATAAATTTAATATCAATTTTAGATTTAAAAAAATTCTTGTTGCTTGTTCATTTTATATCCCCCATAAATGAAGATAAATGATGAGATATATTTGTATTTGTATGTTTTCTTTTTAAATAAACAAAAAAAGTACACGATTAATCTATATTTTTATAATTTTATATTCTTTTCGTATCTCTTTTTCCGCTTCCAAAAGTAATCAGAGATTTTTTTTCCAGAAGAAGCAAAAACATTTGCAAAATGACTGAATAAATAAAACTTAGTATCATTGACATTGCATTTGCTTGTATGTAAGAAGAAGAAAAAAAAGAAGGACATTTGAAATTCTAAAAATGTCCTACAATATGAAAATTTCAAAAATAATTGATGGCGAATTTCCCAAAAAGATATATAATGAATTCTTAGTTTTTTTCTTTCCTTTTTTTTACACCAAAGCAGTTTATTCACAGAGTAGAAAGGAATATTTCTAGGTCAATCGCAAAAAAAAAAAAAAAAAAAAAAAAATCAACGAAAAGTTTTTTATTTTAGTTGAACTATTGACAATTTGAAGACAAGAAAAGGAAAATTAAAACTAATCTTTGATTTCACCGTTCAATGGTTTGTTAAAGATATTATAATACGCTTGTAAAACATTAACATCATCACAGTATTTTTTTTAAAAAAATAAAAAGAAATTAAAATTTAATTTGTTTGAAAAAAGAGGAAAAATAAAGTCTGGTATGTAGTTAAAATTTGATGCCTAAATTATTACTTTAAAATAGTAATTCACAAATCAATGGTCTGCGAACCATTCGTCATCCACGATAATTAAAATTTGGATCACGGGAACTATTAAAATTATGTTTCTTCTTTTATACATGTATATATATATATATATATATATCATAATGTTACTTTATGTTCAACTAATGTGTTGAAAGTATATTTCAAATGAACAGAATTTATTATTATTGAACTTGATAATATCCATACTAGAAGTAGAAAAGTCAACGTGGTCACTGGTCAAGAAAAAGTGGACGAACCACTAGTTTAAAAAATTAGAACGAACAAAATTATATAAAAAGTGTTCTAAACAATAAGTATTGTGTCATTTCATGTAAATTCTATCTATACAATCAAAAAATAAGTGAATAAGATAATAGTTATCATTTCTCTCCCATATTTCTAATTAATCAGAAAAAAAAAAAAAAAAAAAGAGTAGTACCGCCGTTTCCCGCTTCCCGCTTTTTGGTGAAAACTTATTATTGATATAATAACATTACTGTGCTCATAATATGATTGCAATTTAGTATAAATTTGTTCATTACTTTATAATCCCGCTTTCCGTCCTCATGTCCCGCTCTCTGGTGAAATCTTATTGCTGATATAATAACCACAAATATCACTGTGTTCATAACATTATTGTAATTTAGCATAAAACTTTATAACTGTCCGTTACTTCATAAACAGAGTTTTATAATAAAATTTTTTGAGTAAACATGAAAAGATTATTCTTCATGCGTGAAATTGCAAGAAAAGATAATTTAGAAAAAAGATAATACTTAGTGAGGCAAAAAAGTTCAAAAAAAGAATTACATTTTGGTGATTATTTGACAAATTTTACAAATATTATAACAGGATTTATTTATTTAAGGATAATATGATTATTTCCTTTTAAAAGCATTAAAGCATTATATTATAAGCATTATAAAAATGGATAAGATAGATTATAATGTGATGATAATATTAATGAATTCTATTAAAAGAAAATAATAGGGGTAAAAATTGAATAAATTTGGAAAGTTCTGCAGTATGATATTAATTTATGAATGACAAATTTGTCATAAATGTAATATTTCATAATTTTTTTTCTTCTTTTGTTAAACCAAAATTTAGAAAGTTTGGAAATTTGATGTTAACTCTTCTAAATTGAAAAAAAAAAACTTTTTTTCATATCATATTTTATTAAATGATATAATATGAAAGCAATAACGAATACTTTTTTATGTCTTTACATCCGTCAATATGTTTATTTGATTAATGAATGAAAGAACGAAAAAAAAAGGGCAAACTATTTCTAGATTCTGGTTCCGGTTACGGAGATGAAGCAGGATATTTGAAACAGTTTTCAATATAGCATGAAAAGTTGTCCCAAGAAAGTATCATTTTTGGAGCATTTCTAAATATTTCCATTTCGTTCATTTTCTTTCTATCGATATCAAGGAAATCTATCGGATTCTCAAGAAACTACTATATTTATCCCGGGATATATACTTTACTTATTCCGGGATATTAACAAAGATCTTCACTAAAGACTACTGAATTATCATTTCCATAAATATAATTCCTCTGAGATTTCAATTCTTATCCGAAATAAATAATCGAATATTATAATTAAGATACATGAAAATATTAAACATATTAATATATATAAAATATTAAACATATTAACATATTAATATATATATATATATATATATATATATATATATATATATATATATATATATATATA